AACCTTTGGCACGCTAAGCAAGAGCTCTACCACTGACTTACATCTTCACCCCACTCTTTAAAATGTTTATTTTTAGTCAAGGTCTTATAACCAAGCAAAACCGGCCAAATAAACACCTGTATTTAGGTTGCTGAAGTCACAGTGCTGGTTTGCAGTCTGATTATTTGTGACCATATGCTAGCACAGTCGTCTTTCAAACTGGAATCCGTATAAAATATCTACCCAGTTTCTTTTTGGGCACTGGGTTTCTAATCCAGGGCACATAGATCAGTTTAAACTGTGACACATTGTTATACACATGCACGCGTGTGCGCGCGCACACACACTATATCTCTATATATATTGATTGATTTATAAAAGGTAGTCACAGAATCAATGAAAACGAATCATTCTTTAAAACATGAAAGAGAAAATAACAGAAGATTCTGAAATATATACCAAGAGAAACTTTTATTGCACATGAATGTGCACATATGTGCGGTGAGAGTGTGTGTGAGAGACAGAAAAAGAGAGAGAGAGAGAGAGAGAGAGAGAGAGAGAGAGAGAGAGAGGTGTCAAAGATATTTCTAGGCTGCAGGAGATGCTCAGGCGCTTAAGTGCTTGCCTTGTAAGTATGAGGACTGAGCCTAAATCCTAGCACACATGTAAAACATCAAGTAAGGGGGTCAGTGCTTGGAATCCAGTGCAATGGAGAGAGGTGGAGGTGGAGATGGAACCCTGGGGCTTGCTGGCCAGTCAGCCTAGCCTTATCAGTGACTGCCAGGCTAGTGAGAGACTTCCCTCAAAAAACAAACAAACAAAACCCAAGGTGGGAGCACCTGAGGAACAACATACAAGAGTGCTCTCTGGTCAGCACACACTCATACACACACATTGTGCACACGCATACACACACACACACCCCACAAGGGGTTGCATTGCTAACTGTAAATTGTGATAAAACCGTTGGGAAGATATCACACAAGAAGGAAGGCTTTCCTGACTTCACTCTTGCTCCTTTCTGAGCTACCCTGCAGGCCAAAGCCACAATAATGTAAATCACCGCTTTTGCTAGCCTACCTCCCTGCTTAAAAGCCTTCAATTTTCCAAAGGCCAGGCTCAATTTCAGTTCCTCAGCAGGGCAATGACAGGAGTACAAAATGTGACTCCAAACTAGAGTGCCAATTCCCACCAGGGAAACCTCTGTCCGACCACTCGTTAGTGCATTGGCTTTCCTACTGACCGTCCCTACCAAACACTCTGCATGCGCTCTCACCAGTCACCATTCCCACACTCTTCACCTGGATCTCGCTCTCAGGTCCCCATGGAAACCGCAGGCACTTGCTAGGTCAAAGTTCAATTAAAAGCTGCTTGAATACTGAGTTGGCTCAGTATTCAAGACCACTGGCTGTTCTTCCAGAGGACATGGGTTCAATTCCCAGCACCCACATGGCAGTTCATGACTGTCTGTAACTCCTGTTCCAGGGGATCTAACACCCGTGCATAGACATAGACACAGGCAAAAACACCAATGTTCATAAAATACAAATAAATTAATTTAAAAAATCTGCTAGGAATGCTTCTTGACATCATCCTGATATGTACTCTCTAGTACTTTCCAGGCACTTACTAAAGGAAGGTATTGACTCTGACAGCCTCAAATGTCCCTCAGCATTCAGCCCCTTTGGATACTGTCAGCATTTACCAGCATTTAGTCAGTCAGCACGTATCGGCTGAGTACCATCTGAGTGCATCGCACTATACAGCTCCATAAACCCATCAGAACCTAAAAAGATCTCAAGAGGAAGAGGCATTTACTGACACCTAACCTCCCAGACACTCTGCCTGTGGAGTATCAGTTGTTCACCCTCCAAACACTGCGGACTGAGTCTGAGGAACAGCAACATCTAAGGGGGAAGGTGAATGAGCGAAGCGGCCTGATGCCATATCTGCACACAGTCTCCATGCTCACCAGCAGACGCGACAGCAGAGGGGCTTCTGGGATTATCTACTCCGTGTTACAGAGGGGAAGACAAGCCCTGGAAAGGCTGACCAGCCTCCCTGTGAGCAGCGAAACCTGGCCTTGAACACAGCACTCGACTTCCTAGTGCGACTCACCTCCATACTTTCAATTTCCTTCTTTCTCAAATGACTAGCCACCTTCAGCAAGGCTCCCCTCTCATCACAGAAACCTCAGACTATCGAGGTATGTGGCTCCACAGAAAGCTACAATTCCTGAAGACAGTCCCATTAAAGTCACTTTTCTTGTTTGTTTTGGATACAGGGTCTCACTGTGTATCCTTGACTGGTCTGGAACTCACAGTGTAGGCCAGGCTGGCCTTGAACTCACAATGATCCACTTGCCTCTGCTTCCCTAGTGTTTGGATTAAAGGCATGTGCCAACCACGCCTGGCAACTATTCTTAATTGTACTTAATTTTCTCTATCTACCATACTGAACACACTTAGCAGAAACTGGTGGAGCAGGGGTGAGGAAGAAGTAGGGGGCGTTTGATTTGGGGCCAACAAGTGAATTAATGCTGAGGGGCAAATATCCAGTGCTTTCTTCCTACTAGGACAGATCACTGGAAATAAGCCTTGCTGAAAGGCTAACGGGTGGGTGGGTGGTAGTGCAGGTACTCACTAAATAAACAGGGGGCAAGCAGGCTGCCTGCACAGAGGAAGCGGAAAACAAAAGCCTCTTACTCTTCACGCAAAGTCCACAGTGTGCAAAGGGCATCAATATTAGACATTTCTCACTGTGACATTTTGAAAGTACAGCCTAGTCCAGAACAATGGATACCCTTTGGGCACTATGGGCCATGATAGCCTTAGGCCTTATTTAACGATGCTTGGCATAGTCCATGGACTTGGTGAACTTGACCTTGGGCATCAGCCTCCCATGATGGCTCTACGTCACTCTGGTCTCTTCCCCTAGTGAAAATTCCGATCTCAGATGAATGGAGAGATTCATTCTGGGAGCAGGAAAACCACGCTAGGAGTGAATCAGAAGGACCCAGCCCTCGTTCCTTTGCCAGCCATTGAGCTAGGAACTGAGTGCGATTGTGTGCCCAGGCGCTGGTGTTGGTCCCCTCTCTGGGAGACAGGGTCAGGGTCCACGCAAGAGATGACGTAGAAGCCCTCTACACAGGAAGAGAAAAGAATCTCAGCTTCCAGGGACAAAGCCACCCTTTTGGTTGTGACCCTCAATCCGAGGAGGTACTAAGATGCGCCTGTACTGTAAATTAGCTCGTGAAAACCTCAGTTCCTGCTAGTGACTGCCCGTTTCAATTCTCTCCAGCCTGATAGGCTTCAGGAAATGGGATGCTAGCTTTTCAGAAGCAGAAACATTTTGGAAGACAAACGAAAGCGGCTTGTGTCAGCTCATCCAGAAAATCCATACCACTAGTGGTCTCTGCTTACTCTCTTCCTAATTAGTGAAGAAAAAAAAAATTACATTTTTTTAAAGTATAAATGCCAGACTAAACAAACAAACAAAAAGCACATGCACTTTCTGCTTTCTACTTCAGAAAAAAAAAATAAGCGAGAGAGATTCAAAGATTCAAGGTGCACAAAACAAGGTCACTTCTACTGTCACAAAGCTGGGGTGAGGCTTCAAACAAACAATTCCTTTAGGAAGGGACTTGCAGAAGCGCCACCTACCCCGTCAGTAGCCAAGCGATACAAGATGGGAAAGCTAGCTTTTGGGTGGTTCCAGGCCTCTGTTGGCTTCTTGGAACAAGAGGTTGAGGGGAAATGAACAACTCCTGCCGGGGCTTATTAGAGCGTCACAGGGGCTGTCCCGTCACTGTTTCTCCAGCCGCTTGACATATGTCCACAAATTAATCTCAGTCTGAAAAGCGGGTGGAGGAAGGGGCAGAAATGGCTTACACCGTACATTAGCGAGCTCTCCTTGACATTGAGTGACAAGAGCTGCTTGTGGCCAAAGCTTGGTCTCCACTGGTGGTCAGGCGTGAAAGCCTTCCCAGAGGGTGACAGGCTAATTTCATTCACTTATTTTGCATAGAAGGCTGGGCTCTGAGCAGGTAAGGCCCCTACATTAATGGTCCTTGGGCTCACAAGAGGGCAGATTCATCTAGTACCTCTCTGGGAGCCAATTTATTCATACACCTTCATTATAAGCAGTTGGAGTTTGTGAGATGGGGGATTGGGGACACACAGGCTCTTGGGTCTAATGGTAAAGTCCTTGACACGGCCAGCCTTTAAAGAAGCCCTAGGAAGGCAGAAAATACGTAGCTTTATTCCTCTGACTATAAAAAAAATCCAGATCAAAAAATAAATAAGGCTTTTGGGAAAAGAAGGCCTTCCACCATAAGCTAGCCACAAACATTAGGAAGCCTCCACTGTGGGCTCATCACTTGCAGCAGTGATGCTCTAGTTCTGGGGCTCCTTGGTTTTACGATCCCCATAGAGTTTAAGCGAACTATGTCTATTTTAGAGAGCGGGCAGTAAGTCATACCTCTGGAAAGATTCAAATAGTCCAGACACACATTAAGAGGGTGTATGTGGTGTGATTTTGGCCCCTTTCACGTGAGAATCAAGTTTTTAAATTCCTGAAAATAATTTTGTCTTTTAAGGACCGTTAGGGTGTACTATTTCAGCTGACTGAAAGCAGATAGATTTTTTTTGATCAGAGAACTGTGCCTAGACTGACTCAGTGAGGGATTCAGCTGGGGGAGGGGCGGGGGGAGGAACAGGCGATGGGGAGATGCCCCCGGGAACGAAGGAAGACACTGACTCCACCTCAATGGATACTTGAGAGAAGAGGGAAGAGAAACTCCTTACACCAAGGAGCTGGAAGGAGACGAATTGGGAGAGAAAGCAGGCAACAGGATCAGACGCGGGGGTCCCAGGCTAGGGGGTCCACCAGCCTGCTTTCCCGGGAGTCCGGCCAAGAGATAGAGCCTCCAGGAGGGCAAACGAGGAGGTTCCCGGAACCGCTAAGGAACGGGGCTGTCGGGTAGCTCCTGGGTCCAGCCGACGCCGCTCGGCCTCACTCACCAGCTCATGGTCCCAAACCCACGCCTGCTGCCGGGGTCCTCTGCAGAAACTCGGTTCTCGAGGATCACTTCCGGATTCGATCAGTCTCCAGGAAGTGATGTGGGACCCGCCCCCTCTGCCCGGAAGAGGCGGGAAGGGGGCGGGTCTATGCGTTAACACTTTGCTTGCTGTTTAAGGCGGAGTTTCTTTTGCAGACTACGCTTCTGAGTCGGGCTGTGAGGCTGTCTACGTAGAGCCCTTCCCGGGCTAGTCACCGCAGTTTCTGTGTCTGATGCTTGATTTCTAATCCAGAGACACAAGCAACAACTGTCGTGGGGAAGCAGCTAGAGGAGACGCAGTAGAAGAGAAGCTTGCGTTTGTTCCAAACTCTTTCGTATCTATAAAATATTGAATGTCTCACACATATCACCTGTACCAACAAGCAGGTTCCCCTCCCTCTCTTTCAAGATGGTTCAGGGCTCAATGATAGCAGAGTAGGTGCTTTTCAGGGTGGAATATTCTGTGAAGCTATTCGATGAGGGAAGACGCAGAGAGCACCGGTGTGATGACATGTACCTATAATCCCAACACCCTGGAGGTTGAGGTAGAGAGGGGTCATGAGTTTGAGGCTAGTCTAGGCTATGCAGCAAATGCAAGGTCCATCTGGGCTTCATAATCAATACTTGTCTCAAGACAAAATAATACTCCAAAACCCATAAAACAAAACAACAAAAGAGGAGGGTGTATGGAGAACTCTGCAACAATATTAGGAAAGATCCCAAGTTCTATTCCTTCATTTAACAATAAGGTGCCAGGTATGAGGCTAACCTGAGGGACACAGCCTTGCAGAAAGAGTATTGACCTTGTCCCTATGCCCTTTCAGAGCTATGGTCTTTCCGAAAGAGGTAACAAGAAAGGGGGGGGGGGAGAAAGAGGAGGAGGAGGAGAAGGAGGAGGAGAAGAAGAGGAGGAGGAGGAGGAGGAGGAGGAGGAGGGGAGGAGGAGGAGGAGGAGGAGGAGGAGGAGGAGGAGAAGAAGAAGAAGAAGAAGAAGAAGAAGAAGAAGAAGAAGAAGAAGAAGAAGAAGAAGAAGAAGAAGAAGAAGAAGACGAAGACGAAGACGAAGCAGAAGCAGCGCTAGAACATAGAACAAGGTGCTGGGCAGCCCATTAGGGGGCCCTGGAGCTGTACATGGGGTTATAGACGAATAAGAGCTAGGCAAACAGGTGAGTTGTCTTTGGCACCAGTGTTCAGCGCCTCAGCGTATCACAAGCTGCCTAGACTTCTGAACTGAACTGTGTTTCTTTGTCCAAGTTCCTGCTTTACAAGTGAGAAAGGCAAGCAGTGAGAACCATGCTTGATCCTACCCCCTGGTTTTCTCTCTAGGAATTCTCTTTCTTCAGTGGACCTTAATGGTGGTAAGCACGACCTGGGGAGCAGCTAAGCCTCTTTGACCTAGAGCAGAAGGTATATACAATGTGTCCCAAACTCCTAGGTCACAGAACCTCAGAGTAAGAGGAACAGGGATGGTTCTTAGTTTAGTTGAAAAAGGCTCCAATGGAAGCAGAGTAGGTGTCTTTCAGTGGGAGGTTGGTCCCCCAAATCATCACGTAGATTAGCTTCATCACCATGCCATTCTTTATTTTCAGGAAATGATCAAGCATGAGCACAGGAACATCTTAGAGAAGACCCAGAATCCTTGAAGCACAGCTCAGATAGAGAGGCTGGGTGGGGCGAGTCTTGGTCCTTACTGCTTTTTGTACAGGGAAGATGACTGAAGGGGGGTAGAATGTCTTTATGAGTCTCTCGATGTTCCAGCACCTACAGATGGTTCTGCCCCATTTCCTCCCTTCCCCACACTCAGCCTCCCTCAGACATTGCCCATAGTGATAAACGTTTTCAAAAGTTTTAGCCTAGGCCACTGCTGTCCACCAAGGGAAGTCCGTTTGGGGGTTGTGGGGTAGAGTAGCAGACGCATTTTTGCAGGATAAGAACAGATGAGATCTGGATTAAGAGTCAGAAGAATTTGAGGGCTCTATTCCCCTCTTTGGCAGCACGACCCATTTCATAGAAGTCACATCAATTCCCTGGTCAGCGGCCCCTCATCTATAGGAGGGTTAGAGGGATAACATTGCTGAAAGTCCCCCTCAATCAATTCCCAAGGTCACTGTTAGAGTGATTCGAGAGCAGTGGTTCTCAACCTTCCTAATACTGTGTCCTTTAATACAGTTCCTCATGTTGTGGCTACCCTCAACCATAAAGTTATTTTAGTTGCTACTCCATAACTGCAATTTGTTATGAATAGTAATGTAAATATCTGACACATAGGGTATACGACCCCTATGAAAGGATCGTTTGACCCCTGCCCTGAGAAGGAGTCATGACCCACAGGGTGAGAAACAGGATCCGAACGAGAAACTAGCCCAGAGAAATGAGCGGGTCTGAGCAATCATTGATGTCTGAAAAATGGAGCTAAATATGAATCTTCTGGGAGAAAAGGATTCAGCCCGTGGCCTAACTGGAGTTGTTTACCACCCACCCAGGACTTTTAACATGATTAGCAAAACCTTCAAGGTTACTGGGAAGAAGACTTCCCAGGGTCTGTCTGGAAAGTGTCTGGAAGTCTCTGAGCTAGACATGGCCTTCCTTCCTCTCAGCATTAGGGCTGAGGGTGGACAGTCAGATCTCTTCCTGTTCTGTCCATCTTTAAGTTCCCTCTGTGGACTTGCCTGTGCGTGGCACTCACTCCCAGGTAGCTGCACATGGGAATGTGTGCACACATTTCACTGTTGAGGAAAACCTGGCCTGCAGGATTAGAACCTATGTCTTCCCTTTCTCTAACCAAATGACAGTTCAATACAGATGGATCCTACTTCTTCCATGGAGTGGGAAGGAACAGGGTGGGTTTGTGAGTTGAAGCAGAGAGTGGAGGTATTTCAGATAGAGGCTATGCCCCTGATTGCGAGCCTTGTAAATATTGCTTCTTCCCCAGATGTCAGGTGGCAAAGGTCTATTTCACGAACAAAGCTATGGAAGAACTGATGTATATCTCCCTGGGGTCTTTAACTCAGAACATACAAATGCTGTCTATGGGTTCCTGTCTCAGGACATGTTACATCCTGCTTTGTCCCAGCCTTTTCCATATGAAGTTTATGACTGGACCAATTCTTTTACTGCGCTAGCCTCAAGGAGGTCCCAGAAGCAGACCAAAACCCAGGCTGGCAACACTCTCCCTTCTTTGCACCTGTCTAGGAGGGGTCACCGGATCAGAGTTTCCCGAGAAGCCAAAAGCCAAAGACATGGATGACGAACCAGAGTGGCAGAAGATGAGGACATCAGAGTAAGAATTTGTGGAGGATGGGAAGTCCACACGGATTCCTTAAAGGTCAGGGTGAAGTGTCCTCTCTGAAGCTAGGCTAGCAACTGGGTCTCGGTTCTGCCTCCAAGTGGCTTGAGAGTTACTTTTCTTCCCATGGGCTTTGCTGTTCATTTGTAGAGAGCAACCTATTATCTCGGCAACAGCCAAGGGTACTGGCCCAATGTGAAGGGTCCAGACTAAATCAAGGCTGGCAAATGGGTGTCATTCCATATGTCAGTTTAGACTGCCTATTATTAGCTGTCTAGAATGCTTTATTGAGGAAACGGGGGACTCACTTCTCCCCTTGTGAAGACATTCTGTGATCGACTAGTAATGCCTGCCACAAACGAGCAAAGTGGGTAAGAGGGTATGTGTGCCGTCTTATTTCGTTGTTTTGACAGTTAGTAGTCAACTGTGCATGCTAAGCCATGTGCTATCCTAGGCAACGACCATTTAATCCTCACAACAGCCCTATAAGGTAGGTGGCACTATCACTGTTGTCATTTTTTTGTCATTCATACAGGTATGAAGCGTGGCCATGGAGTGACAAAGAGAAAGACTTCAACCTGGGCAACCTAGCTCTGCTTCCGCCTGTTTACCACTTGAGTATATCACCTCTCCTCAGTGACCCCCCAAAGGTCCTGCCACCTCTGACTGTCTTTAGCTCTGTCAAGGTACAGTGGGGTCTCAAGCCAGCATATGGGCCAGAAGGAGCACCAATCTGGAAGGGCCAGCACGTGACCAGGCCCTAACAGAGAACACTTTACTATGTATGCTTCCTGCCCTTTGGAAGGCTGGCACCAGCAGATGGCAGCACCTGGCAGGGTGAGAGCAAAGGGCATCTCCTGACTCTGCCTGGAAGACCTTCAGGGGCCCCCTAACCTAGATGTCAAGGAGAGTCGGGGCAAACAAGGGTGTGGAGGAAGCTTAGCCAAGGGCCCCAAGGAAGAGGGCCCTGGATCTTAGATCTGCAGGGAGCCGCCAGAGCACATGCTTTGGTTGCACCCAACAGTAGGAGCCTCTCAGCTTGCATTTCATGGCGCTTGCTGTGCGCTCCCCCCTCCCTTTCCTCCACTCTGGAAGAATGACTAACTTTAAGGACTAAAAAAAAAATGTTTTGATTACACTGCCTTTTCACCAACTGGGAGCATTAGTCACCCAGGATTGCTGCAGATAACGGGGAAGGCAAGCAGCGTCCCCCTCCTCCCCCTCCTTCTCTCCAATTAGCTCACAGGCCCAGGGAAGAGATGAGTGAGTGAGTGAGAGAGAGAGGGGGAGAAAGAGAGAGAGAGAGAGAGAGAGAGAGAGAGAGAGAGAGAGAGAGAATCAGGATGCAAAACAATCCCCTCTGGATGACGCACTGCCCAGGCGTTGGGGGTGTGAGATGCTAGATGAGGGCTGGGGAGACCCCTGAGGTAGGGCCCAACCCAGGGTGGCAGGTGCTCACTGGAGACAACTGTAAGAGGACATTAAGCCATGGCCAGCTGGCCCTGGGTGGCCTATTTCCCCGGGTAGGTCCTGAGTACACTGGGAAGGGGAAATGGAGGTAACCCACTAAAGACATGGCTCCTGAGGTGGGGACCCTGGTGTGAATGCTGTTAAGGCCACACACAGGGAGACTAACAACTGACCCTGGGTGGAGGCCCTGAGGAGTTTGGAATTTGGAGTTCACTGTCAGGTAGTCCCAGCACCCACATCCTATTCTCTGTGTCAATATCCTCCCTTCTCTGTGCCCAAGGAGCACGGTCTGCTGTGTTGGGCTAGCCATACCTGAATG